GACAGGCACGGAAAATACTTACCAGTTGCAATGGACTGGTCTGTCCCCCCTTCTAGCGGCATCCTCCACAGCACTTGCTGTGGCCAAAATTGAATCTGACATCCCGGCAAGCCACATCGCTGACTGGATAGCCCACTCTAAAATCCAAGAATCGCTAGACGCCGATCAGCTCTCGAGCCACCTCCTGACATGGGATATCCAGCATGTCTCTGTGGAGCCAGTCCACATCCAAGATCATAGCGGCAGTGACCATAATGATGGTCCTGCCAAACAAGATTAAAGTGGTATCCTGGAATCTAAGAGGGTTGGGGGATACCTCCAACCTGACTAAGCGTCCCAGATTCAGATAATGGGTTAGTAAGGATAATCCACATATTGTTTGTGTTCAAGAAACAAAACTAAGGGAAAATATCTAACCGATTGGCTTGGTGGACAGGCCCACAGTTCTGGGCCCCGGCCGAAGGCACTAAAGGGGAGGTGGCCATACTACTCCGTAAGGACCTAGAAGTGGATGTTTTGGACACATACAAAGACCCCAATGGTAGGTGGATCTGGGTGAAGCTGGCTGTGGGGCACGAAGACTGGGCTGTGATGTCAGTTTATGCCCCAGTGGAGTATGCTGAAAGAATTAATTTCTTCGCTTCCCTGCCGACTGCCCTCCCAGATGTAGAAAACCTCATCATTGCGGGCGATTGGAACACTACACTCAACCCAGGCCTAGACTCACCCCAGCCGACTCTCATTCGTCAGGACGCCCGGATATTATCAGCATTTATGGAGGCCCAATGCCTCGTGGATGTTTTCAGAATCCTAAACCCAAAAATCCCGGGCCACACATGGTACGGTCCCAAACCGGCTCCCTTTGCTATTCAGCCCAGTCGTAGGCTGAACTTTATACTAGCCAGAGGTGTCACTTGGGACAGATGTTCGTGGTGTGACATACTCCTTCAAACGCTTTCTAATCACTACCCGGTCTGCATGGAAATTCTAGCAAAGGAACAGTTTGATAAAGTTTGTCCTCCCTTCAGATTGAACACCAATGTTCTCAAGGACCCAGGGATCCCGGCCTGGATCAAAAACCACATGACATTATGGGCCAATGCTAAAGACTTATTCCCCCACGAACATAAGTGTGCGGAAACAGGGATAGGAATAATAACTGTTGCGGTAAAAGTTTTCTCGAGGATGAAAGCCGCCAACAGATCATGGGCGGAGACCTGTGCACGCAGGGCTATAAAAGAAGCAGAAAGTAACATGGGGTTAAACCCTTTCTCTGATTTCTGTTGGTAAAAAAAAAGAATGGAGAGCGTTACCCTACTAGAATCAATAGAGATAAAAAAACAAGAGGATTGGCTCCAATGGCTAAAGATCAGAGGCTTGGTTGGCTATGATAAAATGACCAAGGACACCTTTAGGTTACTCATCCTTCGCCAAACCAAGCCTATAATACGTGAGTTGTCCCACCCCTTCAACCCAGACCTACCCCTAGTGTCAAACACGGAAGACATGTGCAAGTACGCTATGGATTACTTTTTGGACATAGTCTCCTCTAGGAGACCACAAGATAGACCAGAAACTGATCTCGGCTTGGTTTCAGATTTTTGGGTAGACATCCCTGGCTCTATCATTCACTCCACGAGGGATAGACTGGATGCTCCACTTTCAGCTGTAGAACTGCACCAGGCTGCCAAGAAAATGGCCATAGGTAAATGCCCAGGGGCCGATGGTCTACCCGTAGAACTGTTCCTTAGTGCTTGGGAGGCTTTCGCCCCGTTACTTACTCAGATATTCAACAGCACGCTTAGTTCGAGATCCTTGCCTAAAGGGTGGCTCAAGGGAATCATCGCTCTCCTATACAAAAAGGGAGACGAGAAAGAAGTGAGGAACTACAGGCCCATTTCAGTCTAAATGTGGTGTATAAAATTTTGGCGAAGGCCTTAGCCATTAGACTAGCGGATGTCCTTCCAAGCACAGTGGGGATGGAACAAGGAGCCTTCATTAAAGGACGCCCAATTTTTGACAATTTTTGACAACATATTGTCCGCTATGCAGGCCCTGGAAATCCTAGCAGAGAAAAATCTGGACGTGGCCATCGTTCTACTAGACATGGAGAAAGCCTACGACAAAGTAAGATGGGCTTTCATGTTCACCACTTTGGCCAAGATGGGGTTTGGCCCCGGGTTTTGCACATGGGTCAAAGCCATGTACACAAATGTTTTTTCGGTAGTAATGGTGAATGGCCAAACCTCCCCTTCATTTTCGCTCACCCGCTCACTGAGACAAGGTTGCCCCCTTGCCCCCCTTCTCTTCGTCATTCAACTGGAAGTCCTACTAAACAACATTAGAAAAAATGACGAAATTAGAGGCCTGAGTATCCCGCACTCAATTCACTGGAAAGGGGGGGCACTAGCGGATGATCTAACAATAGCATGCCCTAACTCTACCCCATCGCTTGGAGCCTTAAGAAAAGTTCTGGATGATTATTGCTCCCTGTCGGAAGCCTCAATCGATTGGGAGAAATCTGTCTTCGTCCTCCTGGAACCCTTCGTGATCTGTGTAGACTGGGGCCTAAAGAAGATCCCATCAAACAGCTCCGATAGGTTCCTAGGGGTTCAGATAGCACTGACAGACTGCGCTGAGGCACAGGACGCTATTCTGGTGGAGAAAGTAACCGCTAGAATTATGGGATGGGCTCGGAATTTTAAACTGTCCCTCTTTGGGAGGGCACCGGTGGTCTCGTCTGCGGCTTTCTCTATTCTCTGGTTCCCGCTCACAGTTCACAGGTTAGGTGATGAGGCCTACCACAGGATAAAGTATATAGCGGCCAGGTACCTGTGGAAACCGTCGGCCGCAGACCCATAGGGATACATCAGCAAAGTGGCTTGGGATTCAGTATGTTTCCCAAGGGACCAAGGAGGCCTGGGGATCCTGGACCCTGCTCAGCAAAACCTCGCCCTACTGGCTAAATGGCCTACGTTGCCCATGACGGATCCGGAAATCAAAATCTGGAAAGCCTTTGCAGAATACATCCTCATGGAGGAATGGGGCCTCTCCCACCCCTCTCCCATGTCTGGCTCTGTTTTTTCATTGGGTCCTTCTGCAACAGAAACCTCAAATCTAGAGTGTGGAAGAATGTTCTTGCAGCCTGGAATAAAAACAGACCAGGTCCCATATCTGAACCGATCTCAAAAACCCAGATCTTGAACCAAGTGATATTCGAAAACTCCTGGATAAAAACCCAGAAGAGCTCTACTCTGGGTGCAGGCTCCAGTCCGGGTGCTTTCGGGAGAACATGGATCGAAAAGCGGATCATCCAGATAAAGGACGTCTGGGACACTGATGCAGGTGATTGGATAGCTGAACAAGAACTCAGGGCCAGGCTTCCCAGAGTACACAATGTGCTACTGAACTTCGACAAAGTCAAACAGGCCATCCCGCCCCACTGGGTAGCCAAACTACGCCCGGGGTCCATATGGGCGCAAGGTACCTGGCTGGCAGACCCAGTGGACCAGGGAATCATATGGAAAGTCCAGAGCCCAGACCCGAGCCAAGAGACCAAAGCCCAAAAGTGGTCCATACGACGGGGGCTCAGTAAGGAGAAAAGTCTGAAATTTTGTGAGGAAGCTTCAATCCTAGCATCTGAGGATTGGGAAGAAGTTCGAGTGTGGGAATCAGAACTCAACAAAAAGCAAGTTCGCAAACTGTTCCCACCACTCGCCGAATCACTCAACGTAGATCCGTTGCTGTTTGGCTGGGCTGGCTCGGTCTCGACGCCCCATACTATTAAGGAGAAAGGTGCAACGCCACTCATAGGCTACAAACCAAGGGTACGAGTCAGGATGCAGAGGTCAAAGATAAAGAAAAAACCGATTCTGACAGCATGGAAGAGACTCCAAAACCAGTATGGCCAGCAACTCAAGGAGACAGACATGTTCAAGTTGTGGAGAGCAATCAGGAAACTTCCTTCACAGAAAGCACCAGCCATCCTCTGGCTCCAATCGCTACAGGTCACAGCCTCGGCAGTATGGCTAAGGTCCAAAGGAATGGACATATCGGACAAATGCACCAGGTGCAACTGGGCCTGGGAATCGGACTCTCACCTTTGGCTCCAATGCCCTTTCTCCGCAAGAGTCTGGGAATGGTGGAGGGAGAGGTGGAGACAACAGAGCATGCGAACTGAGGAATGGTCTGACATATTCATCCTACAAGGCAAATGGGAGAATATGGGACCCATCACAAAGGGCCCAAACTACATAGCCAATGTCTGCAGAGGAATCATTCTGTCAGCCATCTGGTGGAGCAGGAACGATCTACTATTCAAAGGGGATAACCATTGCCTCAAGCACATCCAGAACAGAATTATCTCTGAGCTTCGAATCACAATCATTTCTGATTGGCGGTCCAAAGGCCTTTTGTGGTTCGCTAAGACTTGGGCCCACAAGGGCTTTGGGGCCTCGATCAGTCCCGAAGGAAATATGCAGTTAGCAGAGTGGTTGAAACAGTCCTGAAGAAGGTAGTGTTTCCCGCTGCTAAGATGAGAAACGTCTCAATTTCATTAAGAGAAGTAGAATTTTCACTCCTTTGTTTTCTTTCCTCATTTTGTTGTCCAGTTGAATATTTATATTTGTTTAAGAAGGTTTAGCTTTAGGGGACGCTGGACCCGGTTTCCAGCTGAGCCTAAGCTGGGTAATGGCCCCAGTTTTTCCTCCGGGTTGATTGTCAAGGTTTTCCCGGCCTCGTTTATCTATATTTGGAAATAAAGCAAGCCTTTAACCAAAAAAAAAAAAAAAAAAAGTGAACCATACAGGATCACGTACAAGGATCAAAGCCACAGCCCATCCTGCCCTAAGAAAATAAGCATTTGCTGCTTTCATCCTCGATTATGCTGGCACGTGTGATTGAGTGCACTCTTCGCACATCCTATAAGATCGGATGCTTTCAGAAGGTCCACCATTTTCACTGCGCATTGGAGTTCACCTTCATGCGCTAGCTCAGAGCACTACCGACGCCTCTCCCCCAGTTCCACATGCAGCTCCAGTTTCCCCGACCTGTTCTTCTTTTTCCTAGGCCTGCCAGCAAAGCACAGAGCACCAATAGTCCAGACGATAAAGAGAGTGCTCGCAATAGTTTCCTGTTGTTTTCTTTTATTCCTCCTAGGTCTACCAGCCAACCACAGACGCCTCTCCCCAGTTCTACACCCAGCTTCAGTTTCAATGCACTGTGTTATTTTTTCCTGGGTCTACCAGCAAAATACAAAACGCCTCCGTTAATCGACTACAAACACTCACTGAACAGCAGTGGCCCGTGCAGCGGCACTCCTATTAGAGCGCTGTGCACATGCAACGTGGAAACCTCGATCGAGTAATAACAACAAGATTGATCATGCCCATGATCTCGTAACAAAAACGAGTCATCACCCCACATCAACCACATTCCCAGCTCCAAGTTGTTCGACGAGAAAATTACTGCGTTAATCGATTACATACACCTCACTGCGCAGCAGTGCCCAATGCAGCATTAATCCTGTAGAGCGCTGTGCACGTGGAACGTGGAGACCTCGATGGAAGTAACAAGAAGAAGAATGATCACGGCCATGTACAAGCGGTTGGTGATTACGCAGTCTTAAGTCGCCGAGCAGCAGTGCCCAGTGCAGCGACACTCCTGAAGAGCGCTGCGCACGAGCAACGTGGAGACCTCGATCGAAGTAACAACAAGAAGAATGATGACGGCCATGTACAAGCGGTTGGTGATTACCAAGACAGTCTTTTCATCCGCGTCGGCATCGGACCCATCAAAGCATCGCTTGCTAGATTGTCTCATACGTTGGAAGAACCTGGCCTGCTCTCTGGGCCACGTCCGTTATTTGTAGTTCGCTCACACTTCCAAAGCTCGAGCCTGCTTCGAACTCCTCTCCTGATCACACGCGCGACGCAACGACATCCAGTGCTATAGACATGATCATCGACAACTCTGCAGCCCGAAAATTCATAACAATCTCGACAATTTACACTCTCGGCTCTCAAGGCAACTATCGTTCCAATTTTAACGGATTTTTTGGAACGGTACACTGAAGATTAGCATGGCACCTGCGCAAAGTTTTGACACGGATAACTCGAGGAATGGTCCGAAATTTTATTTCAAAAAGGAAAATAGAACTTTCCCCTACGGATCAGAGAAAAGCCAGCGACCGACCTGAAACACTGGAACAACCCATAGCCCAATACGAAACCACACTGCCGCCTTCATCCGAAGAGAACGCACGGTCATTAAGGCTGCATCAAGACTGAAAATTGGCTGTATCAAGACTGAAAGCTGGCTGTATCAAGACTGAAAATTGGCCGTATCAAGACTGGAAGCTGGCCCAAATGACAATGCGCTCTCTTCAGCTGAAGACAGAACACAACGATGATCGATCCCCAGCTCCGTGCCAACTCCCCCAATAGAACGCAAGGTCATTGTGGAGGCCCAATGGCTGTATCTACACGTGAAAGCTGGCAGTATACGGATATACATCGGCCGCGAGCCTCTCATCACGACGATTCGGAGGGCGGAAACGCCGCAAAAAAGGCCGCTGATGAAATTTATCAACGGGCTCCCGATTCCGAAAGATTCGGTGGTGGGGACGAGTTCATTTTCTGCAAGGATGGGCCCGTGTACTGGGACTGGTGGCTTAACACTGCCATAATGACCGTGAATTCTACTCGGGTGAAGACTGTTCCAGTCACTGAGAAATACTCGAGCTCGATTACAACTATTACCGACCCCAAGATGAGAAGTCCGCTCCCTAGCTGGTCATTCAATAAACAATAGACATCCACGTGTTCCCGGCAAAAACCAACCACGCAGGAAAATCTGACGAGAAGTCCGTGCCCCTTATCACGTCTCCAGTGCGGAGAAAATCAGCTCAACGTGGCCAGGAACCTTGGAGAAACGTTCGACAAATTTGACATTCAACCGACCCCCATATCAACGTTCTGTCCCGGCAAAAGAACTGATGAGCTCAACCAAAACCTCTGGATTAGAAAACCGACCCATCGAAATCCATCAACCACACTGAAATACACAATCGGTCAATAACGTTGAAAGAAAGAACAAACTAATCGCGTCACCACCACGGACAACAAGCGACCCCTCACCTCCACGTTCACTGTCGCCAAAGACTGATAAGCTCAACCGAAATGTCCGGAGAAATCCGTGCGGAGTAGAGGTGACGCGCTCATCTTGGGGGAGCGTCACTTTAACCCCGGTCCACTTAGCCGTTTGAACGAGTGTTTGCCTCCCAAGTGGAAGGTCGCGGGTTCGATTCTCGTGATCGACTTGTGGAGATATCCATGCTGACTAAGGGTGACGTACTCATCTTGGGGCTTCACTTTAACCCCCGTCCGCTTAGCCGTTTGAATGACTTTTTGCCTCCCAAGTGGAAAGTCGCGGGTTAGATTCTCGCGATGGACTTGTGGATGCTTTCCTAGCAATGCATAACCAATGCATAATCAACGAATAATCAGCTAATAACCAATAAGCGAACGCCTCCCCTTAACGTTCAACGCATGGATTAAGTGCCATCAACCAACCCATAATCAATACATAATCAATGCATAATCCAATGCATAATCAATATATAATCAATACGTAACTGTGCCATCAACCAACCCATAATCAATACATAA